TTCTACGTAATTAAAATCAGTTTGAGTTTTTTTGCAGCAAAGATTCCGTTTTGCAACCCTCGTTATTTAATTGTTTTTCCGAAATATTTATCCTATATAATGGGTTGGTTTCAAAGCAAAAATAATTCGGTTCCAACAACAGTTACCTCTAATACATATTTGTCCCCATAAAGCTGAAAAAATGTAAAAATTACTTCATTTTCCGACTTGAGCAGTTACTATGGATTATTATAAATATTTTATTCGAGGAACAAAAGAAATTTGTACAACGTGACGTTTATAGTCAAATTCACCTTTATTATTACGTCATAAACATTTTCCTTTTTTGTGGAAGTTAAAACCAGGAGTTTCTCTTAAAACAAAGCCCATCAATTCTCGATGATCATCTTCAATCACTCTGTTTCTGCAACTTGACCAAGATGTTTTGCTTTGCTGTGATTTTTGGTCTAAAAGTTGATAAATCAACTTCTTGAAAGCCTGTTTTAATAACAACTTTAATTGTTTGATTGTTGTTGCAAGACGTGGACATGAACGTGGTTTCGCATGTTATGATAATCATAATCAATTTCATTTTTTAAAATGATGGACAAGAGACAGTGCCCATTTTCATATCTAGCCTATACAACAGGGGTGGATAAACATTCAATTACACTCAATCGCAGACATTTTAATTAATTTATTATGTTAATTTCAAATCTGTAAAGCCTACTATTTCAGTAACAACTTCAATTAATGATACAACGTCTTCATCATTGTTCGATTGTTGTTGCAAGATGTGGATATGAACTTGGTTTCATATGCTATGACAATCATGACCAATTTCATTTTTTAAAATGATGGACAAAAGTTAGCAGATGATGAAACATGAATTTAAAGTTTAACATGTAGGATACGTAGAAGAAAACCATGAGCAATTGAAGATGGGTAATGAAATTAGCATTTCTTACGGATTTTATGAACCATTATCACTCGCTTAATTTACAAATACAAGGAAAAGGAAGAACTATTATTGAATTATTCAGTTCGACAAATGCTTCTAAAGCAAAATTAAAACTTTTTGCTTCAAAATTAAAAAGGCAACATTTTAACTATTTTCCGTATTTAGAAAAACATATTAAACTTACTGGTGAATGTAATAGTGAAATATTCTGTTCAGAACTGGAAAATTTTAATCAAGAATTTGAGACGATTTGCAAATATCAATAATATTTCTTTTGGATAATTCGATTGCGAGGATATTTCATCAAATTAGCTTATATATATAACTATACTTTTCGATTGAATTCATGGAGTCTAGAGTTAAAACTTTTAACAATACAATCAGATGCAATGAAAATTATTTTTGAAATTTATTATCATCATCATCATCATCATCATCATCATCATCATCATAACGTCGTCAGTCCTAAGACTGGTTGGACACGCACCTCCACTCTTTCGTATACTGAGGTAATCTTCGCCTTTCCCTGAAACAAGAACAACCCACATCTTTAACTATTTGCGAACAGTAATTTATTATCATCATCATCATCATCATCATCATCATCATCATCATAACGTCGTCAGTCCTAAGACTGGTTGGACACGCACCTCCACTCTTTCGTATACTGAGGTAATCTTCGCCTTTCCCTAAAACAAGAACAACCCAAATCTTTAACTATTTGCGAACAGTAATCTAATCTAGATCTTCCTCTACTCCTCTTAACTCCTGTTTCTGCCTCTATGTCTCTGAGTAGACCTTCATGCCTAAGAAGGTGTCCTACCAACCTATCTCGCCTAATTATTATTGACTTCAATAGAGGCCTACGTTCTCCTATTCACCTCTTCATTTCTAACCTACTCTATCCACGGTATCCTCATCATTCGCCGGTAACACTACATTTCGAACGGTTCTAACCTTTTCTTTTCAGCCACACCCATTTCGCATCCGTACAGCGCCGCGCTCCAAACATACACCTTTAACAAACTTTTTCGAATTTCTAAATTAATCGTTCGCGAGCATAGAAGTGATTTCTTTTTATTGAAGGCGACTCGACCCTGCCCTATCCTCTGCTTTATATCCCTACTACTCCTTCCGTCCTGACTTCCTAGATACCTAAAATCAGCCATTTCTTTTAATCTTTCGTCTTCTATCATTATATTCGCTCATTCCCTACTTTTTCTTCTTTTTTATTACCAAAAGCAAAATAACCATTATTGAAATTGGTGGAAATGAGCATATTTGCATTTTTTGGTTCCATTTGTCTATGTATATGAAAAAGCGTTTTCTCAAATTGAAAACGTCAAATCGCAATTTAGGGATTTTCTGACTGATTACCACTTAATGAGATCTATTCGATTGTATATCAACCTAACTTTCTAAAACTTGTTGATGAAATGAATGTCACACATCTGCATCAAAAAATTAATCCAAGATATTTGTACATTACTATCGATTGTCCACCCCTGCTATACATCATCTTGCTCTCGGTCGTTGATTTGATCTGGGCTTGGCTTTAGAATCTCGTCCCGTATTCTCTATTCTTCTGCGCAATTTAACAAAATATTTTTCTAATTATATATCGTGTTTGGTTGCATTGTAATAAATAAATAATTAATTAATTATCCATATCTGTTAGCATGCACATATGTCAACGTACGCAAATGAATTTATGTAATCAATTATTTATGTATCAGTGCTTATAGATTAATAATACAACACAATTTTCAAATCGCCGTATGCTATAAATAATTATTCTATATTAAGTAACTCGTAGTTTTCAAGAAGATATGTACATATTTTTATATCACCTACTGAGTGTTAAAGATAATAGTTACCGCCCTGAAGAGTCCAAAGAATTTTGTGTTATTGAATATATGTAGGTTGCTGATAAAGAATAATGTTGTAGCCTTAATTTTCTATCTAATCTATTGCTCTGGTGAAATAAAATTTCGAATAATTTCAAAACTAGGAATTTTTAACTTCGGAAATCGATTTGTCAAGGTTTCATTTTCTTTGTGATAACCCTTAAGACAATTTATTAATTAATCATAATAATTACCACATTGAGGTGGAGTATGATTTTTAAATTCATACATAAATAATAGAATGAAACGAAATTCACTCCTCTTAATGACAATTTACCTGAATATGGAAAAGGTGGTAGTTAAATTCACCCCCAAAGGCAAGTCCAATTGAAGTAAAAGTAAAGCTTCTTCTTGAAAATAGTAAACATTTTGGATGTTACGATCCCACCAACTTCTGGACTACGTAGAAGGCCCTCTTCAGCCTCCTTTTAGGAATCGTGGGAACGGGTGGGCGGTGGTAAGGGTGAGAAAATGGAGACAGACGAAATGAATAAAGTGAAAAATTATTCATCTGTGAATTACTACTGCCCCAGTATTAACTTACCCAGAAGCAGTGATGGATTTACGCCTAGACTCGTGAGGCCCGGGCCTAGGGCGGCAAAATTTTTAAAATGCCAAATTTCAAATTTCAAATATTGATTCAGATTAGTTTTTATAAAAATTTGTCTATAGAATATATTATATTTCAATTTTTTAATTTACTTTTCAATCTGTGGGTAAGATGTTAATTGTTTTATAAATCAATTATAGTCTTTATCGAGTAAATATTTTTTACTTTTTGTTCCTTTAGTGAGATTAATCTTACAACCTGGAGTTCAAGATTATCTTTATGATATTCGTCCCAAAAAAAAACAGAAAAATTCAGCCAGATGAGTCACGGCCAACGAAACAACACCTTCTTCTGGAGAAGAAAATTTTCGTATAAATTACCCTATTTTAGACATTCTGAGTGTACAATTGGCAGGGGTTAAAAGTGCATATGAAAAGCCTTACGAAAATTTCAATTTTTTCGATGATTTACCTGAAATACATACGAACGAATTCAAAAACCTTACAAATTAACTACTCAATAAGTATCCTTTAAACTTGTAAAAAAGGGCTGTACTAAATTACTTGCTTGTCGGCCAATTTTTTTTTGAATTGTGAGTTTCTTCCTCCCGAAAAGAAAAACATAATGTCGGATCTGTATTGCGCTGATTTTAGAAGATATTAGTAAATACTTAACAAAAATTAAATATATCCTACTTTTTCTAATATCTCCACATTTCTAACCTTTTCCAACCACGGTATCATCATTCGCTTGCAACGCTTCTAACTTTTTTTTTCCGCCGCTTCACTATCGTGCTCCAGGCATACATCTAATCTTTGCGAATTTCTAAATTAATCATTCGCAAGCATAGAACTGATTTATTTTTGATAAAGGCGACTCGATCCTGTGCTATCCTTTGTTCTGTATCTCTACTACTCCATCCATCCTGAATTATCTGACTTCGTAGAAATGGAAAATCGGCGACCATTACAAAATAAATGTATTTTGTAAAACTACAATGAATCCCGCAGACCGGAAAAATGTTCAAAGCGGTCCGCCGGTTTACCACATCTGACCTAAGTTATCCAAGGAAACCTTAAAAAAACTTGGAACAGAGCAGACAGACTCGAAATTGAACTGGTGACCACGTCCTCCCGAATGTTAAGCAATGGTCTACGCCTGTAGATCATACAGCTCGGTATTTCTTATTAATATAATTAATAAAATATGTGAGTATGAGGGGAGGGGACTGGTTATGATCCATGAACTAATACAATGATGCATAATTATCAAACGATTATTTTTATTCTTGCTGTTTGCATATCTTCTTATCCTTATCATACAATTAGAGAATCGAAAGACAATAATAATACGGCTTACCTACCAGGAATTTCCCAAAGACAGTATTAAAATTCCGGAGTGAATTTACCATTTCACCAATAATATGGGTGTGAACTTAGTAATGGCATCGGAGTAAATTTAACTAGGTATTGCAAAGCTCTACCTCTTTAATTTTAGAATAAATTTGACAATGCCGGATATAATAGCTAAAGTCTTCCATCTCTTATTATTAAAAAATGAAATACAATTGTTCACAGTTAATAAAGATACTTTTTTATTTCAGTGTACTGAAGGCTGTAGATTATGGAAGAAAGCTTTATCGTCATCTTGCAGCCGAGTGTGCGTAAGTATAGACATATTTAAACTATAAAATTATTGTGAGGTTACCTTTACAGTATCGACATCGTTTGTACAAATCATTTAAAAAAAGTGTAAAATGGTCCACACGTAATCTATTTATAATGTTAGAGATAGTTTAGAAACCCATGAACCTTGGCCTTAGGTTGCGTAGTAGCAGAACTCAACCTGTTCATTGATTTCTATCATCTAAATACATTTGTCGTAAATATTTATAGTCAATTGCTGCATGTATAATGTCTAACGACTGGTTAACAGGCGAATCAATGTTTTCATAATGTACATTACGTAACAAGGCTCATGAAATTTTGAACTACCTATAGATATTTTATTTTTATCTCATCGCAAACGTTATGCATTAAACCCAAAGTGAAAGTACATTTCAAACGATATTTCTTGCAAGCTTGCATTACATAGTTAGTTCACATAAATTCCTTTTATTCTGTACAGAGCTATAAAATAATGAAAAGAGAAAAAAGAATTGCCTTAAGTTTCTATCAATTTAAACTAAACTAGACCTTAAATAATGGACTCCATTGAAAAACTATCTTTATCGATCAAATTTTTCAGGAAGTATCGATTTCGTCCTTAAATTTTTTTTTAAACAATTTCCAAAAATTACCGAAGGTCAGTTTCGATTAATTATTTTCATTAAATATTTTTATTGCTTGCATTATAGTAGGTTCTACAATACATTTAATATTGACCGTATACAGGTTGAAGTAGAAGTAACGTAGAATGCCTACAATAAATTTCTCTTGTGGGCGTCAACATATACTGCGCTGTCTAGTGTCTATAGAATGAATGCGCAACTTCAGCTGAGTGGCATGCATTCTGAAAGATCTCGATCTACCACTTATCAAAGACTTCGCTTTGTTAACAATTCATATTTTTATATGTGTAGAACAAAACTGAAAAGAATTGATAAAGAAGCTATTTTGTAAATATTAATCTATTCCCTTACGTAGCAAGGGGAGGGGGTTAACAAATATCTTACAATTCCCTACGTAGGGATGGAGAACAAAAATTAAGTAACATAGTCCTTACGTAATTTATGGGCGACCCCACGAAACATTAAAAAATATTTTATCCCTTTTGAATACAGAATGCAAGTGAAGACCAGAGTCCGCCATCAGGACCAAAGTTATTTTGCACAATGGGTTGTAACAATGCCATAGCTTGGTACTTTAACCAGTTAAGGATAAAATTAGGGAAGCCTCCCGCGCCCACCCTTGTAGCTGGTTCTTTAACTCCTACTTCGTTAAAATTAGAATGGAATTTTCCTGAAGCAAAAGAATTGGGATTGACGTATCTTGTTCAGTGGCGATACGAGGAACTGGCTGGTAACTGGGAATACTACGGAAATCAGTCATGGGGTCCTTACAATACCATTACTGTCGAAAAGTTGCAACCATATACAAAATACAGGGTAAGGACTTAAACTGAGGAACAGACCCCAAAATCGGATATTTTTTTTTAAATTACAAAACAAAGTTTGAACTTTGAATTTTTTCTAAGTATGTACATATTGTTTGGTTTAGGTATATATATATCATCATCATCATCATAAGGTCGTCAGTCCTAAGACTGGTTGGACACGTACCTCCACTCTCTCCTATCCTCAGCTAAACTTCGCATTTCCCTAAAACTAGAACAGCCCACATCCTTAACTATTTGCGAACAGTAATCTAATCTAGGTCTACCTCTACCCCTCCTAACTCCTGTTTCTGCCTCTAATATGTCTCTGACT